CCACATATTAAATGTTTATTAAGAAGTGTTCGGAAGCGAAATAGTTAACGGACTTTAAAACGTTTTGCTCTTCTGACAAGAAGGCGTATGGCAAGTGAATCGCTGAAGCGAGAGGACGAGAGCATCGTAGAGACCAAGGGAACAGGCCGATGATGTCATCAAAAAGAAGGGGAAATTCTTATCTTTTATAACGTTGCTTCATATATCAAAGCTTTTTGATGACCAGACAGGAGGGGCACTGAATGAGATCAACAAATCCTTGAAAATAAACAAATGATAAATAAAGTAAGCAATAGAACACTTATGCGAGTGGTAGTTATTTATGTATAGAGCACCTAAAAATCTACTTCTGTGGCCTATTGCATGAAATCTACACTCATCTATACATTATTACTTTGAAAACAACAAATCATAAATTATGCGATTCATTTGGCATGTGGGACCATAGGGTACATTCATAGTTAACGGTACATTGCTAGGAATCAGTCGAGAGATCCGCGTCGTGGCAATGCAGCGAAAGTTAGGCCACGTGCGCGACATTCGCACCAAGACCTAGCTTGGAAAGACCATAGTATGCCGAGTCAACTAGCTAGGAAGTACATTGCGGCGCCGTTCGGCTGATGGGGCATTTTGCACTTTCGTCAGTTTCTTTTGCTAGTTCCCGTCAAAGCACACGTCGCGCCTTGATAAAATCTGGGGATCATTGTCAAGTTTCAGTGAAGCTCATGCTATCACATAGCTTCATGAAAATTCTAAGGTCTCTACTGGAAAGGCATTGATAATGATCTAGGGGAAGCAGCGGTTTGCCCCCACTAATTAAAAGCCGAACTGTGTTGCACTGGCTTCTTTGCGCTCGTTGCCGCTGCGAGGATCTCTCGAACTGGGTACTGGTTTTACAATTTGAAGAGAAGGCGGTTGTAATAATAATAGTGTCTCAAAAGTCGTGCACCTCTCCGTGATAGAAGGGTATGGTGCTGGTTAAGCCGCTTTGAGTGGTGAGGGGCGCTGTGATAAATTTATCCCTCGATCGATGAGCTCTTTTCTGATTGAGAAGACAAAAAAAACGAAAGGAAATCGAAAAATTGATGACTGTGGCCCAGTGGACACCTCTGAGGAAAGGAAGGACGCTAAATAAAAAGTGTTTGTCATGGTCAGAACTTCTTGCAAGTTTAAAGACAGCGCCCGCGATGGACTTTGGCAGGTCTCAGGGGTCAAATTTGTTAGAACAGGTGGCCAATGAAGCACTAATCAAAAAAAGTAGGAAAAAGGTGTGGAAGAGCGTGAAATAAGACCCTACGAAATTTAAGGCATGTGGACGAGTTTCGCAGACCTTTGGTGAGTTCTCCAATACACGTCGCCGCCTCGGAACTCCAGAAACTTAGCGTTTATCAATGCCAGCAAGCACTGATAACTGTTAACCAGTCGGGGCGGGATTAACAGGAAAGGAGGCGTCAGCTCAGCCTTGTTGACTCCGCCCTCGTCAACCAATCGATTTCGAGCAAGAGTGGGATTTCCGCTGTGGTTGCGTACTCCGCGTTCGTTTTCATTGGAGGGTTTTTTCACTTTGGTTGATCGCGGACGCTGCCTTTAAGAAGGGATTTCTAAGTATTGTAGATCAAGAATGAGTATGAAATAGACCGACTCGACGCAACCTTGGTGGAGGTCAGGAGATCCGAGTTGCCTTGGCATGGCGAAAGTGGCGTTCTCAGTGCAGCTGCAGCGCAAACGAAGCATCGCATAGAGCTTCTGCGTACCACCCCAGTTCGAATCTCCCGGCCCTCTCCCCCCCCTCCCCTCCTGCTCCGCTAACTGGCCGGTGCGCGACTTCTGAGACACAACAGACATAACTTATAACAGACATAACTTATCTAATGCAATAGATTAGATGTGCCTCAGCTGACTTCACCGAATATGCCAGCGAAGGTTCGCTTTAAGCTGTCCCATAGTGTCGTCAGCGAACGAGGACTGTGACGTCACAGGAGGTTGTTCCTTAGGCTCTCGTTTCTCGGGTATTTCCACTGGTTTCTTCTCAATGGGATGAGGGCGAGTGGCGTTAGGGGGGCTGGTTGCGTTCGTGACGTGGTTAACGTGGTTGGATGCTCTGGCCACATCTTTTGGCCGTTCCATCGATGGACGGGACGGTAATCGAGGCGGCGGAGCCATAATGGCACGCATCAGAGCAGCCGCGTTTCGTCGATCGTCTTCTTGTGTTTCACCGTAAAAGGCTGAAAGCGATGGTTTGCTGAGCGACTCTTATCAATGGCGAAGGTACCGCTGAAAATGCCTACCGATGACGTCATTCACATCGTGCACGTATTCTCTTCCTTCCTTGGAAACCAGTATATCTATCGAACAGATCGACATTCGCCCGACATGCTCACAAATCGCGTGTATGTACTGCTTATGCCTGCAATAAATGTGCTCTGAAGTGAAAATATCAACAGCCAATAACATGTAAGCTTTCGCTTTCCTAGCCAATCACAGCGCAGTGGGCGGGGCTGCCACGGTTAGGCGTGGCATGCCTCCAGAATCCAGTGCTGCTTGACTCGGAGGTAGTTTTGGGTGAAAAATATGTCAAATTATGAAGTGACGCCCTACCGTTCATTGGTGGGAAGCTGCTCCAACACTGCCGAGCCAACGTTGCTCTTCCAGCTCTTTGATATGCCACGTCGCAAGAAAGTCTTGATATCGTGACCAATTTTTTGCACATGCAGGTCGAATTTGAGTTCGACATAGGGCTCAACTTCCACCTGAAGGTAAATCAATGGATAACTCATTTTACACACTTTCAACATTTTTTCATTATTTATTCTGCTTT